ATTAATCTTAGGTATAGGCTAAGTCATTCTAACAAGATTGTCTTTGGCTGGTAGATGTTCCAATGATTCATGAACTGTTAGTCTATTAAATTCTAAATCTGGCTATCATTTTAGAACACAGCGGCTACTTAGTGGGCCGGGCTCCCACATTCCACCACATTAAAATGTACCATTAACGTAAGTGGTTTTAAGAGATGAGTGTATTGAAATCGTAGTGGTCCAAAGGGTAAGACGCCCGGTGCACTTACTTCGAGCGATGCGGCTGTGCCGGTACTTAAATTCTGCAGACAAGTACCAATTTTTCTGATGGAATATTCTACGATAAAAGAATACCATCTATTCTAATATATAAACCTACAGTGGTTTTTACGGATGTTCCGTTATAACTACTGAACCATGCATCCGATTGACTTGAAACTTGGTATCTATGTAGAAAATACATGTAGGTACTTAATGGATAGGCTAATATTTATATGAGTGTTGGTGTCCCTACACCAGTTGCGGGGCCCTTAATGATGAGAATCTTCGTGGGGGTGAGAAATAATAATGTTAATTTTAAATGCCCAGCGAGCGGACGGGTACATCTAGTCGTGTAATAAAAATCAAACCCGCCAAAAATATAATTTAAGTAATCACTGGCGTCTTGTGGGACCGGATAGGTAGGAACCACAATTCTGCATTTTTTCTGCCGCGTAGCATTAATGCATTCCAACTGGAAGAGTGGGACACCCGTTATACTATACGATTGTGACATTGACCTCATGTCTAACCACTTAATATTACGCGGACTGTGAGCGCATTTATCCGTCGTAGTAATTAAACAATTATAAACGCTAAATCAGTCGCTAACAAAGACAGCAGCTCATTGGAGCGTCCAATCCGCAGCGCTATCACGTATTTCAGACAATTAGCAGAAGACAAATATTGTGCAAATATTGCTGTCAACTTTCAATTTCGTAATACGGACTTACAACAATTATGCAGATCGCGGATCATCACTAGTGCTGCCTCTGCAGAGCGATTTGTGAAACTTTAGTGCATTATTTTCCATACAACTAAGAACAATTGATATACAGTCGGTATTACGGATGCTTCTGTCTGCCACACCACAGCAGATGTATAGTAGTAGATTCGTTCGCGAAGCAGCTATTCTTGAGTTCTTGGGTCTCCTTCGGAGGCGCTTGAGTAGCTGTTAGCAGATCCCACCCCTCCTGGCTGAGCCTTTGCTCGCTCACCTGTCCTGGTGAAACTGGAAAGGACTTCGAGGAAATAGTAATCCTTCCTTCATGAAACAAAAGTAAAACTAGCGTTGCGCTCATCATATCTGTGTTTAATTTATATGGTATAATTGTTTTTGCTTACGTATATACGTTTTTTTTTATTACATGAATGCTTTTCGTTTTGCGCTTAATGTATTACAAATATGTAATTGCACTACACGAGTGCTTAGCTTCCGACCTATGTGTGTGCTTATCGCGAGTTTCTTAACGTTCTCTAAGGCGAGCAAGCAAGAGCAGATATTTTGCAATTTCGTTTGTCAGATTTGCGACAACTTTTGTATGTGGTGCTAAATTGTTGCAAACTATCCGCAAGTGTACGTGTAAGTCTGCAGGTTACGCGCGGCGTGGAGCTCCTCCTGCGATGAACAGAGCCATTCCCCGCACGCCTGCCCTGCGCTTTATGTACTTCGGTACACTTGAGACTCTACTACCATTGTCGGATACGAATATATGTTCGAGAAATTTCTCTAAAATACACGAAGGATATTTCGTTTCACTCATTTTTTTTTTTTATTGCTTAGGTGGGTGGACGAGCTCACAGCCCACCTGGTGTTAAGTGGTTACTGGAGCCCATAGACATCTACAACGTAAATGCGCCACCCACCTTGAGATATAAGTTCTAAGGTCTCAGTATAGTTACAACGGCTGCCCCACCCTTCAAACCGAAACGCATTACTCCTTCACGGCAGAAATAGGCAGGGTGGTGGTACCTACCCGCGCGGACTCACAAGATGTCCTACCACCAGTAATTACGCAAATTATAATTTTGCGGGTTTCATTTTTATTACACGACTAGCGACCCGCCCTCGCTTCGCTTCGGAAACATTAAAACACACATGAAACAAAAAAAAATAATAAAAAAAAAAATAAAAAAAGTAGCCTATGTTCATCAGGGACAATGTCGGCTTCTAATGGAAAAAGAATTTTTCAAATCGGTCCAGTAGCTACGGAGCCTATTCGAACCAAACAAACAAACAAATTTTTCCTCTTTATAATATTAGTATAGATGTTATTCCTTCACCGTGGAAATCAATCGTGAACATTTGTTGAGTACGTATTTCATTTGAAAAATTGGTACCCGCCTGCGGGAGTCGAACACCGGTGCATCGCTCGATACGAATGCACCGAACGTCTTATCCGTTAGGCCACGACGACTTCAAGCTGAATCAAACCTGGTACCGTTAGGTCACCGACCACTAGCACAGTGAGGGGATCACAATGTAGATCTCATCCATAGTAAACAAACCATTAGGCGCGATTGAACCGTAAAAGGAATTTTCATTCGCGTCTATGAGTACCGGAATGCGAACAAGAGTTTAGTGGTTGTATTTGTTTGGTACGAGCTCACAGCTCACCCGGTGCTCAGTGGGTCAGTCAGCGGAGATAATGGACTTCACCTGTGTAACTGTATCTGGCCTAAGTCTTAATCTTAAAATAATATATCATACTATAATCCTATGGTAAGAATGGTCAGGCAGTATAATGATTTGGCTAAATGTCACGGTAGCCTTGATATCTCTGAACCTAGACTCAGGGGATTTGTCAGATGTGAAGGATATCCTATTTAACAACGGCTAGTTATCAATATTTGTAATTTCAATTGTGTTTTCAATAGCCAAAGCTATGTACATTAATATGGATTTGCTGAGTGCACATACTATTTAGATTCCAATCCAGATTAGATCTAGGTACTACTTGTACGATTTAGCTAATATGTACTGTAATGATTGTAATTCGTTTTGTGCATCAATAAATAAACAAAAAATCGTATTGTAATAAGGGTTGTCATAACCCTGACACTTTGCCGGAGAAGTAGGGGGAAGTTTGGAATCGATACGCGCCAGCTGATGGATCATCAGGTTAGTTCACAGAAGAATTGGAGATTCGTGCATTGTGTGTCCGGTCTCGAACCGGCGGCGTCCCTTAAGAGGCCACTGTGCCACGTGCGATTAAAATCTCGGGTTAACACGAGTGACTCTCAAGAAACGATCCCCGGGGAGAATGGAATCGTACTAAACCCCTCGAAACCTCGTTAAGGAGGGAAGCCCTCGCTGCCTTTCATGTTTGGATTGCTTAAATAAAATCAAATACATTTGCGAGGACTCGCATGAAATGTATTAATGTTTACTCCGTCTTAATATTGAAAACAAGGTTATATGGATCTCAAAGTGTTTTTATGGGTTTGCACGATTCTTTTGTCGCTTTGATTTTTTATAACACAACTAAGTACATGTGGGCTGCGGTGAGATCGCGCGATATTTTCTCCTTTGAAATATAAAAAAAAATTACTTTGCTTGCTAAGCGATGACAATATCCAACAAAAGTTTCAAGTAAAACTATAGGACCAAAAAGACAGATTCCCAAAATAAAAGACGAAAGCATCTATATATTAATACGTGAAGCAAAAACTTTGTATCCCTTTTTACGAAAATTGCGCGGACGGAGGAGTATGAAATTTTCCACACTTATAGAGAATATAGAGAAGAAGTGCACAATGCTAATATTTTTTTAAAATAATGCATAAAAGATACATTAAATCAATAAAGAAAACATCACACACACTACATACCATGTATTTGACGCACACACGCATGCATACTATTTATTGTCAAACTTTTGTTCTTGACGTCTGTGGTCAAATTGAGAATAGATTAAATAATTACCTTTGAAGTAATTAAATATTGTTTGTCTTTATTAATATTTTTCTAAATTCAATCATAATAGTGTACAAACTTATAATTCCAATTAATTATAGTCGAATTTCGACTACTGCGGGACCTCTAGTTTCTTTAATCACACACACAGACATTATTTTATGGTACTTATCCGCGATGAGATATGACAAAACTTAGAAATATGAATCCCTTCAGTATCGATAAACGGCGTACGTATTCCTGAGCTATTAGAGCTCAAACAATTGGCCAGCTTTGATTTTGCACAGAGTACCCTAGAGAGTGAACCATGTAATGTCCACAGACACCTGGGCTCCGTCGATGTGAGAAGGTCCCGAGTCGTTGAACGAATGTCATCTTCTCAATTACACAAGTCCCGTCATGACTTACGCGAGTGTGGTGTTCGCTCACGCGGCCCGCACACACATAGACACCCTCCAATTCCTAGAATCTCGTTTTTGCAGGTTAGCCGTCGGAGCTCCGTGGTTCATCATGAACGTCGACTTACACGACGATTTGAACCTCGAATCGATCAAAAAGTACATGAATTCCGCGTCGGAACGTTACTTCGATAAGGCAATGCGTCATGGTAATGGCCTTATCATTACCGCCGCTGACTACTCCCCGAATACTGATCATGCAGGAGCCAGTCACCGTCGTCGCCCTAGACACGTCCTTACGGATCCATCAGATCCAATAACCGTTGCGTTAGACGCCTTCTGCTCTAACAGTAAGAGTAGAGACCCCGGTAATGATAATCGTCGAACTTGGCAAAGAGTACAACGTGCAACCTAACCCATGCATCAGCCCGCTGAGATTCTAGCCGGATCTTCTCAGCGGGTCGCGATTCCGATCGGTTCATTCCGAAGCAGCTGCTCTTGAGTTGTTAGGTCTCTCTTGAAGGCGCTCGGGTAGCTGTTAGCAAATCCCACCCCTCTGGCTTAGCCTTTGTTCGCCCACCCATCCTTGTGAATCTCGAAAGGCCTCCGGGCCACCAGTAAACCCTCAATCATAAAAAAATACACAAGTAAAACAGTTGAATACTTACGGGTCGTGAGTGGTTTGCGGAGGGGCCGTGGAGGGGGGGCGGGGCGCGGCGCAGGCGGGCCAGGGCGCTGAGCAGCCCGTCCGTGGTCACGCCGCACCCGTCATCTGAACCACAAGACACACGCGTGTTAACTAATACCATTTGCCTGTGCCGAAACGATAACGAGGTGAATGACCCAGAGTTGACCCTTTGTTTTATATAGTGCTACGTTGTCTGGGATCATCATGTGAGGGGGTTTATCTCTAATGTGTTCTTCTAACGGCGGTCCCTTTACACCGCTCGCAAAAATTGATTTCATTAGCTGCTTCTACAGCGCGCAGGTCTGTCTGGTCGATGTACGACGCTAGGACCTTGGATACGTGATATTATATTAGGTACCATAAGTACTTCGAACGAATGGGGTCAAAGGTTTTTGTGAAAAATCTTATTCTCTTTTCATATTCGCTTAATACTGTTACACAATATATTTCCAAAGGTAAATATGAATTTTATAAGAATTCCCTAAGGAAGGGGCAAGGTGTTTATGAAGCCAGTTTAAATAACATTAAAACACACAACAAAATAGAGACGTCTCATCAAATTTCTTCCAACGTCCAGAGCTTTAAAACTTTCCCCGTGGGATAGATAGGAGCTATCTCATCTGCGCCAACTAAAAAAGGCCATAAACCTTCCACCAAGAGACGGGTTATTTGAAAGAAACTGGAACACGGCTACAGTAACTTTGCATACAATTTTAAGGTTATTCTTTGTCATAAAATGGATTATATCGCTTTGAAATTGATATATCTCGGTCCCAAAGAGGCAAGATGGCGGTATACGCGTGGTGTCGCCGGACCCCACCGCTTATCTCCAAACGCGCCGCCACCTTGTCCACTCCTCTAGACGACAATATACAACCGAACCTTGTCTGATCGTATTGTTCCTAATGTTATCATCTTAATTTGACCCGTGATTATTTTAATGAATGTGTTAATTAATTCCGTGTTTAAGCGAATCACTCTGTACATGTATTTACAAATGACTGCCAAGACGAGTGAATTAATCGCGTATGTAAAACAAGCCCGCACAAGTCCTGTCGTTCGATACTCATTGCCTTTTAAATTGCCATTGAAATAATTTTTCAAATCGGTTAAGTAGTTGCGGCGCCTATTCAATACAAACAAACAAACAAATCTTTCCTCTTTATAATATTAGTATAGACAAACAATATTAATCTATTCTCAATTTGAGTACAGACTTAAAGCAATAACAAAAGTTTGTCAATAAACGAAAAGTATATATGCGAGTGTGTGGGTGTGTCAAATACATTGTAGTGTGTATCATGTTCATTCATTGCATTCAGTGAATTCTGCACTACCTCTCTATATTCTCTATAAGTGTGGGAAATTTCATACTCCTCCATCCGCGCAATTTTCGTAAAAAGGGGCACAAAGTTTTTGCCTTCTCGTAATAATGTTATATAGATTACATCAGTTTGAATCTCGCGCGTTTCATTAATTTTCTGTAATCGCCTTGACAATTATTTTTAAGCTTTCTAGGGAATCTGGGTTGTAAAGTTTCAATCTTCAGAATGTTAGTTTGAAACGTTAGTCCGTAACAGTCGAGAGCCCGCGGACGGCAACGGAACGAACGTCTCCACATAAATTACGTTTTCTATGAATTAAAATCACCATGTCATGTATCTATTATATGTACACCTGTGTGCGCCAGTCGGTACGTCGTGGTATTATCAGTGGCAGTATGTGGTGTGCATACGTCATGCAAGTCTGTGAGCATGCTGCGTACCGTGCCGTCTCATTCCACCTGACAGAACCACGTGACGTCACGTCAAGAACATCCACATCGGAAACCCGGACTTATACCGTATCGCGAAGTAACGCCAATTTAAGAATTAACTTCAAAATTTAGGGCTCAAGAATATTAACTTGGTCGAAAGTAGTGTTTCCCAAATTTTTTGTGCCATGCCCCACTGTCACATTTCTAAAATTTTAATGCAATACATAATTTTTAACATTAAAAATTTGATTTGTTCACTTAAGAAATACAAATATTCAAAGTAGGTTTTAGGAAGAAATCACTATGAAATTGTTATCAAAACACAGTAAGTAATATTTCAAAAGACTTTAGTGCCATTGCTCCCCTTCATTATCAAATTGCATTCTTATGGGGCGTGGGCTAAACGTTGGGAAACACCGGTCTAAAGTATCCAAAATTAAACCACACAGACCAACTCAATATCTCAGCTAAACGTCGAGTGCACGCGACACAAACAATAATTTGTACTGTGTGCAATTTAATTATAACTTTTGAAGTCCGGCCGGACCGGCTCGATGTTGGGAGTTGTTCGCTTCGACTTCGCTCTTGGTATTACCCCATTTATAAAATATATAAATTCTATGGTTCGGCGTGGAATAATGTTGGTTCTACCCGCCTTGTTTTGTTCGTAGGCTAACTTTTTAATACATGAAGCGGCCGGTTCTCGAATGTCTTCGTATTCCATTGCGGGTTCTTATAGATGTAATTATATTCCATTTACGTTAAGGTAAAGTCGCGTTTGGACTATGGGAATGATTCCTTTTTCTTATATTTTTTTCCTACCTAGCTAAGAGCCTTGAGAGGCTGTATCAGCGTAACCTTAACTAGTAGGTGAGCTCACGGGGCTCAAACCTGACGACGTTGCTAACACGAGCCCCAGCAAGAGCAGTGCTTCGCCGAATCTACCACCGGATCGGAACCGCGACCCACTGAGAAGATCCGGAGAGAAACTCAGTGGGTTGTGTCGGTGGGTTAATTTACTCGTCGAGCCCTTCGTCGCAAGCGACGGGTTCGCCGAGAACGATGACCGGCTTTTTTCTATAACGTAGGCAGTGAGGCGAGATATCAAGATGAGATGCTTGGCAGCCCCTGCAGTTGATAAAACGTCTTAAGAGTAGATGGGGTAGGATGAAATTAGTGCGTGAGTGCGTGACCCGCTTAACATCAATTGAATCCTGAGCTTGTCTGAGCATAGACGCCAAAAAGTCTTCTTTCAATCATTGAATTCAGATCAAGTCAATCTTTTTTGCCACGTACCATCCGGTTATGGAATGAGCTCCCCTCCACGGTGTTTCCCGAGCGCTATGACATGTCCTTCTTCAAACGAGGCTTGTGGAGAGTATTAAGCGGTAGGCAGCGGCTTGGCTCTGCCCTTGGCATTGCTGAAGTCCATGGGCGACGGTAACCACTCACCATCAGGTGGACCGTATGCTCGTCTGCCTAGAAAGGCAATAAAAAAAAACAAGTATTCAGTTATCAGTTTGTGTACGGTGTCACATTTTACGTGACGATGATGAATTAAGATCACCTGAAATCCTGTAACAACCTCGCTCTCGTTAATGTAAACATTGAATATGTAAATGATTACACGGTAACGCCGAATTAATCCTTATTGAAGAGAAGGTAAGGTCTAAAGTAAACAGGGGCTTGATTATTTATTATTGACCGACTTCAATAAATGAGGATGTATTTGTACAACTAAGCTTAGCTTATTCTGGTAGCAGATTAACCATCACCACGTTATTATAAGCGTCAATAGACTAGCAAATTACTGCGAGGCATGACAATGACCATGACTCTATTTAGGTTACTGTCACAATGCACGCACAGATAGTTGCACAGATAAATTGAATTGTTTGGTCTGTGGTTTCATAATAAAGCTTCTTCACGGTATAGTATTAAGTCCAATCCGAATGTCAGTTCAGATCTTGTATACACAAATATGTACTTAAGATTATCTCGTCATTGTTTTTAGCGCGTTTTAAGTATTTCAAATAAGAAGAAAATAAGTAAAAAACCTTTTTATTTTAGTACTTTAATGGGTTTTCAACAATTAATTATCTAAAGCGGTATAAACAACCCTAATGCTTTAAGAATACGATCAAAATTCGGTATAACATAAATAACACAAAACTAAACAATTGTAGCCACATTTCAAATGTCGTCAATATACAAAATTGAACCTTATGAACGTGGGCTTGCAGCTGACATTCCTTTTGAAGAGTGCATCGATTAATACCTGCACAAAAAATTGTCAACTTATGTGGTCAGGTTCAAATAATTGAATGGAGGTATATTTTATCAACAAAACCACATGTACCTTGGGCACCAGCAAGACCCTGAGCATATATGCGTGTGTATTACTTATATATCCAGCGTTCGAAACTCATCATAATTACAGATACATTAGCATAAAACACAAGACATTTATTTACAGCCACAGCTAAAAAATGTTCTTTTCAATAATTAAATTACGATATTAACGCGGTAAAAAACTAGAAAAAAAACACAACACAATTGTCCCATTGTTACATTACGGGGAAAACAGTATTTAACGTCCTTGTAGACAATCAAACAAAGACGGCGAGGTCACAGTCACGAGATAATTATGATGATGAAGGGGAGACCGATGATTGGCTGACCGGCCTTTTTTTTTTTTTTTTTTTTTTTTTTTATTGCCTAGATATGTGGACGAGCTCACAGCCCACCTGGTGTTAAGTGGTTACTGGAACCCATAGATATCTACAACGTAAATGCGCCACACACCTTGAGATATAAGTTCTAAGGTCTCAGTATAGTTACAACGGCTGCCCCACCCTTCAAACCGAAACGCATTACTGCTTCACGGCAGAAATAGGTGGGGTGGTGGTACCTACCCGTGCGGACTCACAAGAGGTCCTACCACCAGCCTTGTGGCTTCCGTATCCAAGGCCACTATGTCGCTCCCTTTACGAAGACTGGGAGTCTCGAATATAAGAGACGGTAAGTTCGACTACTACTGCATACGCGATCTTGCGGACTAATTGGTAAACAGACGCCGTTGCCTAAAATACATCACTTCGGATCCTCCCGATTCACTATCGGTCATATTGAGTACTCCAAGCACCGGTCACCGTCCTCGTCGCTTGCGACGAAGGGCACGAGCGAATTAACCCACAGACACAGCCCACTGAGTTTCTCGCCGGATCTTCTCAGTGGGTCACGTTTCCGATCCGGTGGTAGATTCTGATAAGCACTGCTCTTGCTAGGGCTAGTGTTAGCGAAGCCGCCAGACTGAGCCCCGTGAGCTCGCCCACACATTCGCTGAATCTGGTATAACACCTCGAGGTTATCAGCAAAACGGACCTTTAATTACAAAGATAAATGTCCGAAATGTCGCTTAAATAAATAGCCTTTCACACCTCAATACATGTACACATATGCAAGTTTATGTTGAACATGTCATTGGTTCGCTTCAGGTTATCGTTTTTCTATCTTGTCTATTCTGTAACAGCTACTTCTACGCCGCATTTCATATTAGATAGACAAGCGGACACTCGTCACTAAGATCCTCTGACGTCACGTAGAGTGGGACTCCAATAAACTTAAGCGGTAGATAGAAATTCAGCTATGCCTCTGGCATTCGCTGCTAATGTCGTTCAATTATCGCTCATCATTTAGTGTCATCATCATATTCACCTGACTTCAAATACAATAACAATGTAGTCGCCTAGTAAGGCAAGAAAAACATGAGTGCTCGGGTCGTGGCTCATCGTCGCTCATTAAGGTACCCGGGAACCGCGATGCCCTAACAAAAACAGTTGGTTAGTGCAATGATTATACTTATAAACAAGATTAGATATTCACCGCAACGCACGCTCCTTCCTATTAGTCATTCATTGTAAAATCAATGAAATCATATTATAAATGTGACTCAATTGAAACATGTAAATTCGTTCAAAACTAGTCAGTGCTAGTCGGTACGTCTGCCAGTCTTATAGCTTCGCTCTCATTAATAGTCTAGTCAGTTTGGCATTGACCGGTGACTTGAGCGTACGTACTATCGCACTCTGGGCGACCGCGAAAGATCAACATATTTACGATTCATTTCGCAATTATTATAATGTTTTAACTTAATGTTTTCATGACAATGTGGCTAAAATTATTACTTTGGACTTTTGTGTGCGGTGTTTGGACTAGGAACATTGAGAATCGTGAAACATCGACCGATGTCGATCAAAGTTATGGACAGAGAGACAACGAGACTTATCGGGATGGACACAGATATTATAGACGACGTAATGAAACAGATATGAACACGGATCACTCGAACGAGAACAATGATAGCACAATCTATAAAGGTCCGCAAAACAGAAGACTATGGAACAGAGGTGACGTAAACATTAAACCGGTCACAGAAAGCATCACAGACGGCTATAATAACAAGACGTATAAACAAAAACACACTACGCCCAGCTTCTACGAGGAAATTACTCCATTCACAAACAAGCCAATTAAAATTAATACAGATATCGATACAGAGAAAGTTATTGATAAAAAAATCGAGGATTTCGGTCCAAAGGTGGCGTACAGTGAATCGCAAGGCGATCGCGATCATCTTAAAGAAAGCGTGACACACATGCGTGACCATGACCAAGTTGGACAGATAGACCACGGAAAGAATGCTGTAAACCAATTTGTTAACACATCCCCAAGGTCCGGCAATGACTTTAAATCAGTGAAGGACAATGAGGTGTCTTCAAGGCCGTCGAATGGTTCGGAAGATGGTTCAGGGCAAGACAAATGGATCTGGGGTGAGAGTAGTACCAAGCCCACATCAATCGTGACCCCGGCAGTGGACGACAGAGCCGCGTTCACAGGTGATAAGTGCCCCACAGGACAAGTTAGGTTTAATAACCGGTGCGTGGATGTCGACTGATCAGAAGCATTCATTCGCCAAACATCACAATCACTATTTGAACATCATGATGACTGTCGCAACGCAGATTGAGAAATAGCTCATTTAATATACAAGTGGCATAATAATTGTAGCTTTTGTCACAGAACTACAAGTAATTAATAGTATTATAACTATAAATAATTTATTTATAATTATTTTTCTGCGTTCGGTTTGCATTTGATCTACGACAGACCGACGATGGCGCAGGTAAATATTAACAAAGTTGTACACCTCAATTGCATTCACAATTCTGTGTCTATACGTTTTATGAATTAACTAGTTTCTGAGTTGTAATAACAACCGAAAGACAGTTTAAATCTCTACTAATATATAAATGTACAGTGGTTTTTACGGATGGTCCGTTATAACTACTGAACCGTGAATCCGATTGACTTGAAACTTGGTATCCATGTAGAAAATACATGTACTTAATGGATAGGCTAATATTTATATGAGTGTTGGACTCCCTAATAATAATGACAATAAATAATAATGTTAATTATAAATGCTCAGCAAAGCGGGCGAGTACGGCTAGTATTAAATAAAATCAGTAAATTGTTAATCGAATATTAATTGTAAATTGTATTTGCGTTAGAGAATTTATTTAAGAAAGCTTTGTGTTGATTAGGCCGCCAAATCTAAATTTCTACAACACATTTCGAGCTGGGTCCACGTTGTTGTCCATGGGCTCCTATCAGCAGTCATCACGAGGTCCGCCGTGAGATCGTTTACTAATACTTGTCTGAGAACTTATTGTAATAGGATTAAATTAGTTATACGTATGAGTATATTAGGTATATGTTATAATGAAGCTACACTTACCCTTAGTAACGAAGTAAGAAACTTGTTAATGTTACCTAAAATGGACCTGGGAGGGTCCGTTGAGAGCTGTGTTGAGCTCTATAGTAACTATGTGTTTAATTGACCGGGTTTTCTTACGTATCGAAAAGAGCTGTAGTTGCAGGATGCTGTGCGGATCTGACTGTGTCTAGGTGAAGGTCAGATGTAAAACTTTTTATCTTCCTCTATTTACTCTAAGATAATGTGGAATGATTTTTTCCTCCCTACCTTCTTGCTAGTGGCCTATGGGGCTATTCCCGCTACGTGCGGACGGGTAGGTGAGCTCACGGGCTTAACCTGAGAAAATTTGCTAACACTAATCCTAGCAAGAGCAGCGCTTCGCAGAATCTTCTACCGGATCAAAATCGCGACCCACTGAGAAGATCCGGCGAGCAAATCAGTGCGCTGTATCAATGGGGGTAATGTTTAGCCTACTAAGCCAAAGATGGAAATCTTCTTGTTGAAAAACTTATGAATGGGTCTTTATACTTATTAAATACTTTTTGTGTGTTGTTTGTTAATAAAAAATCAATTTGAATAATGAAACTGTGATTTCATTTAAATGTAAATAAATATGTATATATTAATACGTGAAGCAAAAACTTTGTATCCCTTTTTACGAAAATTGCCCAGACGGAGGAGTAAGAAATTTCTCACACTTATAGAGAATATAGAGAAGGAGTGCACAATGCTAATATTTATTTACAATAATGCATAAAAGATACTTTAAATCAATAAAGAAAACATTACACACACTACCATGTATTTGACACAACACTTACATACAAATATACTCTTTGTTTACTGTCGATTGGGAAACTTTTGTTATTGCTTAAAGTCTGTGGTCGAATTGAAAATAGATTAATATTGTTTGTCTTTAATATTATTGATCTATAGTGCAGTTTTGACGAATACTGTGATTATATTATCGAATTATAATAGTGTTTGACAATAGAACCATAATAATGTTTAAACTTATAATTTCACTTAATTATACCTATAGTCGAATCTCGACTACTGCGGGGTCACTAGTGTCTTATAGAACGCCTTAGTTGAGTAGTACCCCAAACCGCTCATACCCCCAATACAGACTCGCAATAGACTCGGACTGGAAGTCGAACTCTGGTCTGGTGTTCAGTAGGCGCTATTAACCCGTCCACACTCGACCAACAACGAGGTTAGAAACAATCTCTTGCAGATTATCTGAAGGACAAGACTTGCTGAAGCTGCTCTACCTGCCCGCTGTCCTCGATAATCTTATCTTCGTTATCATGAGGAGGAAGCATCTCTGAAGGCTCTAGTACTAATAGGAATAACGTCACTGCAGCCCAGGGCGCACGCAACTCTTCATATCATTCAGCAGGCCTTCGTTTATGAATGCGTCAATAACGAATAGCGTCTTTATTTGTTGCGCAAACGAGCATACGACCCATCTGATGATGAATGGTTATCGTTGCTCAAGGACGTCAGCCAATACTAGGGGCAGAGCCCAGCCCTTGTCTACCGCTGAGACGCCGGACGTGTCTGTCTCATTGCCTCGGGAGCTATAGAACAAGATAATTCACCAATATCTTTCTGGTCGTGGTTCAAGCAAAGGTTTTCTATTCTATTAATATATTCTTAAACGATCGAAACTTAGGCGAGGATAGATTTTGATGTGAAATGCTGAAGAATATAGCATATATTTCAATTTTTGTGGTGGTCTTGTTATTGCTGCAGTCAGTCACCACGTAATCTTGTAAGCTGGCTGCTTCGTGGCGGATATAACAGGACGGTACCCTCCACGTGGACTCACAACAACAACACCAATACTCTATTCCCAGTGAGTACAAACTCGTCATAATCACGTGCTAGTTACGTGATTACGTGACACAAAATACCGTGACAAAGTGAAATACCTGAACCTGTTTGTTGTGATTAGAAATGATTAGTTTTTAGTTTGTGTGAAATCATCAATTTTACTAGTATTTTACTATAACATGCGTGTCGGCTTTTTTTGTTAAAATTACAATGTTTTTTTTTATTGCCTCTTAGGTAGATGAGCTTACGGCCCACCTGATGGTGAGTGGTTACCGTCGCTCATGGACGTCAGCAATGCCAGGGACAGAAACAAGCCGCTGCCTACCGTTTAATACTCTCAACAAGCCTCGTTTGCAGAAGGACATGTCATAGCGCCCGGGAAACACCGTGGAAGGGAGCTCATTCCAAAGCCGGATGGCAATTAAGATCTCTGGAAACGCATTGTGGATGAACGCACTGGCTCCAGGTAGTATGGATGAACCCTACTCCGATGACGGGCGGTGCGATGGTAAAAACGAGATGATGGTATCATCTCGAACAATTCCTCAGAGCACTCCCCATGGAACATACGGTACAAAATACAGAGGGAACCGAAGTCCCTCCGCAGACCCAGCGGTTCCAAGCGATCCGTGAGAATGGAATGTTAACATTATCCCCACGCAGCAAAACTCGTTTATTCCGAGAAATCACTTAGAGTCCTGAAAGTTATGATTATAGACATACTAGCTGACGCGGCAGACTTCGTAGTGCCTCAATCGATAAATAAAAGACCTAAACTTTTGTATAAATAAACTTAAACAAACAAAAGGAATCTGTCCGACGGGAGACACATCAAAGGAAAAACAAAATTGTTATTTTTATTTAATTCCGAGCATTTTTTTATTTATCTACCTTTTGAACCTTCTCTGGACTTCCACAAATAATTCAAGACCAAAATTAGCCAAATCGGTCCAGACGTTCTCGAGTTTTAGCGAGACTAACGAACAGCAATTAATTTTTATATATATAGAAGATAGAAGAAGATTACAGTAGCTGTATTATACCTAGTCAGGTCATAAATTCTGTCACATGTTTAATGTAAAATAATTGAAACAAGTTTATTCATTATGTAACCATTCATATACCAAAATGAACTTAACAAAACATAGATTCTTATGACATTAAAGTTTATTCAAAATGACCTCCGTGATTTTGAATACAGGCCTTCAATCTGCGCGGCCAGTCGTCTATCGCAGCACGAACGAGGTCCATGTCAATATCGGCGGCTGCCTTAATCAAGGATGTCTTGAGTGACTCCAAATTGGGATGAGGCTTTGAGCACGCCTTTTCCTCCAAGTGTTGCCATATCTTGTAATCTAACGGATTCAAATCTGGACTGGAGGAGGGCCAGTCTTCGTGCCGGATGAAGTCGATTTCACGCGCCGCCAGCCAGTCTTGTGTGCTCTTCGCTCTATGAGCTGGCGCCGAATCTTGTTGGAATACCCAGTGCCTGTTATTGAACATGGTATGAGAAACAGGTTCCACAAGGTTCGTCAGGACTGTATTTTGATACACAACTGCATTCGTTTTTACACCTTTCTCACAAAAATGTACCTCTGTTAAGCCCCAATAAGAAACTCCCAACCATACCATGAGCGAGGATGGAAAATGACCTCGTTGGACACGCGGAATACGGTTGCTCGCTTCTTCACTACTGTGTGCGTACACCTTATCATTTTGTTTGTTGTAGCTCTCTTCTACGGTAAAAATTTTTTCATCCGAAAAAAGAATTTCCCGATATTTTTTTCCCGCGTACCGCTTCAACAAAGCGCGGCATCTCTTCAGTCTCAGGTCCATTAGACGAGCATTCAAACGATGTCCTGTTTTTCTTCGATATGCCCGAAGCCCTAAGTCTTCATTTAACACCCTTTTCACCGTGGTTCTGCTTAACCCCATCTGAAGGGCCAACAGTTTCTGCTTACGTTTGGGATTTCTTTGAATTCGCGCCTTCACAGCTTTTATCACTGCTGGAGTCCTAACAGACCGAGGGCGACCACTTCTTGACCTGTCATCTACACTAGAGTCTTCATTGTATCGTTTGATGGTACGATAAACGAATCTTTTGGTTATATTCAAATTTTTCAGTATGTTAAAAATTTGAATTGGCGCGTAACCGCAACGATGCAACGCAATAACTGCAACACGGTCTTCTTTAAGCGTCCACTCCATATTTAAAAATGAGTAAAATTCTAAAAGTATACATTTTTATTTTCATGAACAATTCGAAATTCGAATTCAATAAACTTTTTTGTGGCCAGCATTCTAAAAGAAAAGTTTTTACAGTGTGACAATACTTATGACCTGACTAGTTACATATTTATGAATTTTGGCTCGAATATACACGAATGCTCGCGGTTGTTGACTACTGATAATGTTAATAACATAAATGTCGCTTGCCTTCAAGACCGCCAGTACAATTACGGACACGCAATGCAAGACGACTAAAGACAAATCAAGCAATTAATATTCACAATCAAAATGCATCATGTGCCATTTATGTTTAATACGAAAAGCAACGTTATTCTTTAGACCTTTAAGGTAAACATTGATACAATTTACAAACAATTTAAAGTTTATTCTAAAAGAAATAACAAAGAATGAGTTATAAGGAAAACGCAGGTAGGAAAATTACTAGATTTTGTAAAATGAAAAAATATTCCGTGGTTAATGACGTGTGTATTTTTCCAGGGTGTCTCGGGTCGTGGTACTTATTGGACTTCCCGTCATGCCATACCTTCATC